CTTACGCAGCATGCGCAAACTTTGCTTAAAACCTCATATTGTTCTTTCGATAATCAGAATTTCACTTTTTTTGGAGCGAAGTTCGTAGGACTTGCTCGATTATTAATCTCTTTCGTGTATGGCCAATTTAATCTATGAACGAAGTTTAAGAGTCAAAGCTTTTTCTATGGCTTCATTAACCTTACAACTTTATAGTGGGTAGATTTATGTCGCGTTTGAAAGCGAATTTTTATAAGAAAAACGTTTTTTTAGTTGGATAATATCACTCGAAAGGATCTTCTTGTTGAACTATCTTTCTCCCCTATTGAGGAACGGCTTTATTCTGCTAAAATAGAGAAATCCAAGGAGAAAATGCGAACTCTTTTGGATTCTTTGCTTCGTAGTAATGATCCGGAGACTTCACTGAGTTCACTTCCTTCAGCAACTGTAGATGTCATTTTTGCTATCATTAATGATGTTCGAATCTCGATTTTGGCAGGTAATTGATCTTCCAGGATTTTGACAAACGAATGCTAATTGGTATTGACAGCCGCGCCATTTTAGGAGAATCACATAAACATAAGAAGGATTTGAACTGTATCGCAGATTTTCGAATGTTTTCGCCAAAGCTGATTTTCCGCAAATTGTTCGAAGATGCTAGGACGGCCGTCGTACAACGTCATCGTGAAATGGTCGCTAATCGCAATGGTATGTGGTGCAGGGATTTGTAGCTGATTTCTATTTCCAAATGCCATTTTTCAGCTCTGGCCGGAATATATCTGCTGCTAGGAGAGGAGCACCATGCGTTGAATTGGTACAAGCAAGCCTACAGCATTCATGAGCAACAAAAAGAACTTAATCGATTACTCGGATTGGTAGAAGATTTCCAAGAAGCTCCCGAAGAGGTAAGTTTTCAAATAGTTTGGTTGTAATTGGTTCCCTCTACCAATTATCCTAGTCAAAAGACGAGCCAAAAGAGCAAAAGGTTGAGGAGGAAGAGGAACAAGATGATAAGGATCTTGATGAGACCAAAAAATGTAAACCATTGGAGATTGATTCGCTACAGATGATTCATATCACCAGGTGTGAACTAGTATCAATTATCATTTTCTTTCCATTCATATTTTCACTGTTTTACAGAAATATAAAGGAATTGGCTGAAAAGCTGGAAGATGCCAAGAAATTTGTAGAAGCTAATGATATAGCCCAATTAGAGGAAAGGTATCATCAGCGATATGTTAGAGTTGAATCTGCTTTGGTGACCCGTGTTAAACGAAAATGGTGCGAGTTGGATGCAAAATGGAGAGAAGTTGATGGAAAGGTGAGTTCAAATAAAGATCTATTCATCTCTTTCTGTTCTGGTATGGAAAGCAACCTAGACAAAAAAATCATTTTGAGTTCAAATAGAGCTCGTTTGCAGTTTGATGCTGGTAGAATGTCATACGCGATCATGTTAGACAATCTAGCTGGAACACATGCATTCAAAGAATTCGAGGGAACGGTACCATTTTTCCG